TCACAGTTGTTATGCCGGCTTCAAGTCAGTTTTGTCACTCTTTTAATTATACTCCAGCACAGCATAGGTGCTCCTACCTTTTAAGACTACTTTAAAGACACTATTAAAATGTGGGAACATTTTTATCTACAAGGTCAAACATTTTTTTCTCAGGAGAGGGAAAAAAATGTGCAGGCAGCACATTGGTGAAAAGAATATAACTTAGGTCATGTTGCTTATAGGAGAGGAATCATGCCATTATCTGTTTTTAAAAGATACTCATAAATCTGATAACTTAAAACAGGTCTAGTTTAAAAGTGAGACCAGTTAATGGAGAGGAGAGAGTGTGGAGGGAGAGGAAGAATCGCAGAAGAGGACACACAAGGCAAAATCATGTTGTAATTGGAGGAACCCATATGGATGATTTTGTTCAATCTCTTCTAAAGACAGAATTGGGGCCAAAGAAGTTAGGTGATTTGCCCAAAATTGGAACACCAGGTAACAGCAGAGAGGGAATTGGAACCCAAGTAACCCCAGCCACACAGAGACAAAGAACCACAGGTGAGAGAGGGAGGAGAAGTTCAGGTGGAGAAACTGGATGCTGGATTTGTTTACTGTTACAGTCAACTCACAGGCTCCTTTTCATTTTTAGTTTGGATTTCAAAGACATTTACCCATAAGTAAATGAGGAAGTCAGTCACACCTCCCCTTCCAATATGTTGTTCTGCTCCAACAATGTGAAATTATCTCTAAAATTTGAGAAGAGCTTTACTTACAAATTTAGCTGTGGGATTAAGACGTATTTTTTCATAAAGGTCTAAAGATTTGATAGGCATATAAAAGTGATTCAGATTCTTAATTTTTAATCTCAGAGGCACTGACAAGCTGGGTTTGTTTTTTTGTTTTTTGGGTTTTTTTTTTTTTTTTTTGTCTTAAAAAATACCAGCAGCCATTGCCAACTGATTTACTTGCTTTCATTCTTGAAAAGATTAGGGTTGTTCAGTCTTTTCCTGCCTGAAAATATGTGATTTCCTTAAAAATCAGCATTTATTTCACTGCTTATGATCTTTTGTTTCCAGATCAAATTCAGGATGGGTGAATGTGCATAATTGGTTCCAATTGCAAATTGTTTAAGAACAACTTTAAAACTCTTTAGGGGTAAAAATGAATCATTTTAGTCTGAGCTGGTATTCCTAAATTAATTTTTACATGTTATTTTTATATTTCCAGGATTCAACCAAGTTTCATTTCTTTTCCCTCTGCCTGGTGTTTTGTTGTTTTTGTTGTTGTTGTTGTATTTTTACTATCAGGCTACACCATCATTATGGTAACCAGTAGCCAGATGTGACTATTTAAATGTAGGTTTATATTAATTAAAATTAAATTTAATTTGAAACTAAGTTCCTCAATCACACTAGCTACATTTCAAGTGCCCAGTGGTCACCTGTGACTATTATGCTGGACAGCAGAGATCTCTAGACCATACCTATCATCTCAGAATGTTCCAGTGGATGGCACTAAGGACTAGTAACTGGGAATGTCTGTCTTGGGCACCCTTTATTGGTCAGTAATGATAAAAGAAGCCAGAGGTTCCTGCATAGGTTTCAGAAATCGATCACATAATCCATAAGGTCTAAACTTAGTAGTTTCATGGATTATCTCACAAGTGAGCAGAGCTAATGTCCTTTGAGGCTTGTGTCTCAAATATTGCTCTCAAGGGTAAGTAGTTTATAACATAAGAAGTTATTCAAATATTCAAGTGTAAGTCAATTTGGAATTCAAAAGACATTCACCCATAAGAAATATTATAAATCATGTGACTGAAACTGCATTTCTGAAATAAAAATCAGTGGAAATAATAACCAGCAGAAAATCAACAAATTTTAATGTTTCAGGGAAGTTATAGATTAGTAGGAAGAAGTGACACACACACCCAGTACACATGCCCACACACACAGAACAATGTTAGATTGAGTTTCTGATTTAATTAGCCAAGAATATAAAATCTTACTGGAAATGAGTTGGCTACCAGGGCAGGATCAGGGATGTGACATATCCCAGCCTAGCTTCCCTTGACACCCAGAGTTCCTGCTGCCAGTCTTCATGAGTAAAGGTCTTGCCACACCTGTGAACTCAAATCTTGCTACACCACTGTTCTTTTGTAATCACAGCTTATGTCAGCAATCTGGAAGAACTCACACCAACAATGCATGAATTTTTGCGTATGGGACTGTTTACACACATTAGATATTTCTAGAGCTCTGGCCACACGCAGCATCACCAAAGCAGCATCCTTCTCTTGAGGGGATGCAACAGGGTTAGGGCTGGGATCCCATCACTACTTCAGCCCCAGAAAAATTTATTTTCCTAATCATTCCCTTCATACTGATTTTGTGCTTTTTTATCCAGGTGATTCAAAGACTAAGTTGTGATGGAGGATCATGCGCACCAATCAATTTTCCCAGAAAATCAAATCCAATTAGAAAAAATCAAATTGATCTTAGAAGTTGGCTCTTGAACAATAAGACAGGTTGAATTAGAAGAGGTAGATGAAAGTTTGTGCAGTGATCCTGAAGTGGACTGTTGGAGACTCCCGAGAGCTCTCATAATGGATGGTGACGATTGTACTATTCGTTCTTAATTTATTTTCAGACTCACAGCTTTGTATCCCTTGGCAATGGTAGATCACCACACTGCTCATGTAAACAGGATCTATGTTTTTCTCACATATTCAGGGCAGAAGAAAAAGTGAAATATTTTCCAGGGAACATTGAGCGGGAATAAGAAAAAGAAAAGAGAATAAGATTAAAGAGAATGTTTATGAACATTCTGGGGGTGGGGAAGGATTGCTCAGAGCTGTAGGAAGGAGGTGATGGCCGTGATACCCATGAATATTTATGGCGCACTTAATGCAGTTTTTGAAATATTTTATATGTTAACCAATTAATCTGGACTGAAAAATTTTATATGTTAACCTATTTAATGAGTTAGTTAATGATTTAGTTAACTAGCTGATTCATTTGATTTTTGTCTTGAATTTAAGACAAAGAAAAATAGATGAACAATGTGCATAAACTCCATGAAAGAAAGACTGCAGGAAATATATTATTCTCCCACCCCAGTTAGCAAAGTTGTCAGAAGCCACAGTTTCAGTGCTAAGCAACCAGCTCTTTGTCCTATAGCATGCTTGTGATTCGGGATACCTGTAAATGGGAGATGAACAGAAGTCCTGATTTCCCATTCCTCTTTAAAAGGAGGAGGGCAGATGAGATCAGTTTTCGAGATCATAGACTGCTGAGAATATGAACAAAGCTACAAGATAATGTACATAACACAAATTTAATTAAAGAGCAGTGTCAGATCCCAGGTTATGCTGCAGTCTCAGAGACTATGACAACAGACATTTGTTCTTGCTCATGATAGAGGTTTATGATGGGTTAGTTTGCAATTCCGTTCCATGACTCCTCAATCAGGATCCAAGCTGATGCATCCTGCACACCATCTGGGGTAACATTCATTGCTGGGGTAGGGAAAAGGCAATATAGCATATCACATACTGGCTCCTAAGGCTTCCAATTGGAAGGGGCATGCACAATTTCAGTTCACGTTTCACTGCCAAGCAAGTCACCATGTGCAATCCTCCATGTGCTTGGAAGAACAGGTTCAAATTTCCAATGAACAGACATAACTACTACACAGGGTCAAGAATCCCCAAAGTAGGTGACCTCTAAATTCCTTTGTAGTTCAAGGTTGCTGTGAGTCCAGATTAATTTATGATATACTTATTCAGAGTTTATCCGGGAAGTCTACATATATAAACGATAGGCACCAATTCCTCTTCAATCAGGTGGTTATCTTTATAACTAAGACAAGAGTGAGCCTTCTCCCAATAAGGTATGAGCAGAAGTTTTTGGACTATTCCTTCAACTTTGAGTGAGAATTGAAGAAATGAGCAATTCTCTCCCCAGTGCCACAGGGGTTTCCGATAAGAGAGAAAAGTAGGTTCTTCAGTGGCAAAGTTACATCAGCAGCTAATACATAATGAGATCAGACCAGAGAGCTACTAATATTCCTTCCATCCCTGAGATTTTGTGCTCTAGGTAGATGCCTACTATTTAAATGAATCAGATGACTAGATTTTAGAATGGCCAAGCCAAGTGTATCTCGGGAAAAGGATATCTAGAAAAGTAGCCACAAGGTGGTCTTAGCATTCTCACTTAAGCAGCACAGATACTAAAACTGGAGATGGTCTTAGGGAAAGAATAATAGACCCAATAAGCTAGTAGAACTCTTAGGCATCATCAAATGCTGGCCACTCAGCTGCAGCTCCCAGTGACTTCAACCCTTTCATAATCTCCACCAGCATTTCTTTCTTAATTATATACATGTAACATTTTCCCAGTCTTATGGAGAATGCCATTCAAAGGCAGCTTTGAGAATGGTCCCTTTGTCAGCTTCCCTCCAGCCAGAGTGCCTCCCTTCATGCCTTCTTTATGAAAGTGCTACCTTTGACCAACCTCATTTGATAGACATGAAAATTGAGGCCCAGAGAGGGGCTGGAACTTGCTTAACTCAAAAGCCATTTGGAGGCAGGGTCAGCCACCCATTTCTTTGAATCTCTGAGTCAATTGCAAGCCCCAAATTCCCTCGGACAAGTTTGGGGCCTAATTTTAATCGAAAGCTTACCCAAAAGATGGTATTTCTGACAATTTACCTTGAAATACTCTCTGTCCTCTTATTTGTCTTCATTCAGGGATTTGGTTTGTGTTCTTGCAAGGAACATAAGGAAAGGCTATGCTCACTCAAAAGTCCTTGCCTTCTTAAGGAGACCTACAGACATGTCTCATACCACTCAGCACTGCCTTAGCTTGGCAGTCATCCTGATGATGAATTGAAGATACTTTGCCCATTATTTCTTCCCCTTATGCCTTTTCTTCCAGCTACAATTATGATAATGTCTTGCAGCAGACTTTGTAAAGAATCAGGGCCTCTGGATAGTGATCTCTTTGTTTCTCTTACAGTTCCTTATCAGCAGAATCCTTACAATCCCCGGGGCAGCTCCAATGTCATCCAGTGCTACCGCTGTGGAGACACCTGCAAAGGGGAAGTGGTCCGCGTGCACAACAACCACTTCCACATCAGATGCTTCACCTGTCAAGGTAGGAGGCTCTCCCACTCTCTTCTCAGATTCCTGACCATTCTTGCACCACCCATGCCACAGGGGCAGGAAGCACATACATAGGCAGCTGGAATATCTACAAAGGCCTACAGAGGCTTTCCTTGAGCCTCTTCTTATGAGATTCTCCCTTAGAATGAGGGCAGTGTTGGTACGTGAGGGAGACAAGGATTCTGGTAACCTTGGAGGGGCAGGTGCTGATCCAGAAAGAAAAAGACTATTCTGCAACTTAACTTACTCATCTGAAAAGACTCCGGGCTTGTGCCTATAAATCAATCTAAGAGCAAATGAAAGTGCGAACTATCTTGGATAAAATTCAGCATGGCTCATAGATGAGTACTTATTCTATGACAGTGTAGCAGTCCTCAAAGGTCACATTTAACAAGGGTGAAGAGACATCTTGACTTTGGGAGCACACAGCTGTAGGTCACCTCTCATTGTTACAGCTTACACAAGGCTAATTTATGTAATCCTAGACTTGATCGAGCCAAGAGTTCCTAAAGAAGACAGATAATTAGCAGCAGAAAAAGGGATTCAGCTGAAAGAACACAGAGAGCCCTCTGGCCCGGGGTCAACACACCCTTCCACAAAGTCCCTACAAATACTTCTCCAGCCTCCACATCTTGACCTCTTCATTCAGACTTCCCTGCTCCACAGAGCAGCCATTCTAAGGTTGGAATGCCCTATGGCTTTAGAAAATGTTTAACGCAAAATTTGTAACTTTTTTTGTTGATCTCAGATTTGTTCTCATAAAGTCTGAAGAATAATTTGTATTTGCTTTTCCCGGTGACTGCTCTTCAGATACTCGTATCCAGGTCTTCCCCATGTCAAACTATATCACAGGTCCTTAAATTGGGTCTCATCTTAAATGATTCCAACAGTGTCACTGTCCTGGAGTCTTCCTCTTTGATCCATTTTAGTGTGTCACTGTCGTTCCTAAAGTATGATACTCAGAACAGATCAGTTTTCAAGGTCTGGCAAATACAAAGGACTACATTTCTGTTGATGTAACTGATATTGAACTGACTTCCTGAGGAGCCACTTCACACCACCGGCTTATATTGAATTTAAGGTCAGTTGAAGCCCCCGGTTCTTTTTATATCAGTAACTGCCTCAGTCTCATGCACCTAAGAGTGACTTCCCTGCCACTGAGAAAATCCCGGACTTCTTTCTTCATGATCTAACTAGACTCTGCACTTAGCAAACAAATTACATATTCATATTTCCTAATTTGTTTATAGATGCATATATGGGATACATTTTAATTGGTGTGATTTGAATTTTATATTGAGAATTGGCAAACCCCTTTAGTATAAGTTGAACTGCAAGATTATCTTGGTGAGTGATTATTTTTACACTCTTTGAAATTGAGGCAGGACAAAAGGTAAAGACAAGAAAATTGTTAGAAACTGGTTTGGGATGTAATTATGTGATTATATTCTTAAGAGAGTATATCAGTTACCTTTTACTTAAGCAAAAGCTTAATAGCTTAAACCAGCTGTTTGTTTAGCATGATTCTCTGGGCTGGCTGAGCAGTGTTTCCCAGTTTCTGGCTCTGCCTTTCTCTACTAGTCTCATCATGATGATATGCAGTCAGCAGGTGAGTCTGCTGGCAGTGATGGGCAGACTGCTAACCCCAGTGCCTCCACGTGGCTTCTCATCCTTCAGTGGGCTGGCTTGGGCTTGTTCATATGGTGGTCTCAGAGCTCCAAATACAATGAGAGAACAAGCTTTAATAAGTAAGACCTTTTCAAACCTCAGCTTAATGTCCTGCTGTTGGCCAAAACAAGTCAAATGGACAACCCAGATTCAAGGTCACAGAGAAATAAATTTTGCCTTTTTAGGGGGATCTGAAGCATCAGATGTCAAGGATGGTGATGCAGAAAGGAATAACGTGACCATTTTGGCATTTACCGCAGGGAGGCTGTAGAATCTCTTTCAATGGAGATTTTAAGGGAAAAATAATAGACCAATATTTTTCTGAATATTTTTAATGTTCGTTTGCTTAAAGGTAAAACAAATGAGAGGATTTTTATTTCCAACAGTAATCAGCATGGCAATTAAGTGCCCTATTAGATAGCTTTGTCATCTAAAGAATCTAAAATATTTATGAATTTCTTTTACAACTCTTTTAACATCCACTACTGTGCTGACATGAAAGGAAGGAATCTACAAAGATTAGAAACAGAAACAGAAACCCTGTTGTGACTACCAATGACATATTTCATCCTGATAGTTTATATTAAACCTTGGAGACTTTGAGCTTTTACTCTGTTGTCTAAATGGATCACGGAGAACAGGAGGCAAAGCTTAGCACCTAGTCAAAGTGGGAATCTAATAGGAGACCTATGTGTGAAGCTGTTTCCCCCCGAAAAAAGCATGTTCTCGGTGCATGATAGGTGAGAAATAAGCTGGCTCTGGAGAGGGAGAGAGCAAGGAAACCTTTCTGTTCCAACTTTGGCACTGGGTAGAGGGGAATAAAACTTTTATGAAAATACCTGTCCGTAATTCACCATATATGTGGGTTCATGACTACATTCATGTCATGTATTTGGTGTAAATAAAAATAATTACAGAGTCAAACAGAACATTTAAGTTACAGTGGTCTCCCACTTGGCAAATGGCAAAAGCAAATGATACTCCTCTTTGGAAGAACTCGACTTTATTCCAGGCCTCAAAGAATTTCCACAGATAGTGTTATTAGGAAAATGAGTAACTCATAGTCAGTCAAAAACATACAGATTATAATGGAGTGAGAGCCAGCAGAACCTCAATGACTTTGTATATTGAAATTTTCCGTCATTACATAATAACTATATTGATATATTTAAACAAACTAGAAAATATGAGCAAAAAAAGCCAACAGCACAATATAAGCAATAGCACAGAAGATTTGAAAAGGAAACAAATAAAACTTCTAAAAGTAGAAATATATAATCTTTGAAATTAAAAACTCAATGTATAAATTAAATAGCAGATTAGATGTTGCTAAAGAATTAATAAACCAGAAGATTTCATCCAAAAAATTATACAGCTAATAGATCAAAAATATGAGAAGTTGGTAAAAATTAAAGAGAAGTTAATACATGGAGAATATGGTGAGAGGTCTTGACATATATATATCTAATCAGAGTTCTAAGCTATATAATAGAGAACATGAGTGGGAGGACAATATTTGAAGAGACAACAGCTGTGAATTTTCTAGAGCTGTTGAAAGACACATATCCTTGAATCCAGAAAACCTAATAAATTCCTGCAGGAAAATTTTTTAAAATTCCACCTACATATACCAGAGTAAATCCTCAGATCATCAAAGAGCTCATTTTAAAAGTCACCAGAGAGAAAAGACAAATCATCTGCATATAAATAGTAAATGAACTGACAGCTGACTTTTCGATAGCAACAAGAAAACTAGAAAACAGCAGAAGAATATCTTTAATGTGCTGAAAGAAATAACTGTCAAGGAAAGATTATGTATTCAGCAAAACTATCTTTCTAGAACAACGACAAACCTACAACTAAGATTATACTTAATGATGAAAGACTGAATGTTTCCCTGTAAGATAAAAACAAGACAAGGATGTCTGCTCTCGCCACTTCTATTTGACATTGCATTTCAGGTTAGTGCTAAGTTAATTATGCAAGAAAATGAAACAAAACATCAGATTAAAAAGAAAGAAATGACTCTCTCTATTTGCACATGACATATCTTGTATAGCAGATCCCAAAAACTACTACAGAATTATTAGAACTAAAATTCATATGGAATTGCAAGGGACATAGAATAGTCAAACAATCTTTAAAAGAACAAAGTTGGAGAACTCACAGTTCCCACTTTTAAAATTTACTATAAGGCTGTAATAAACAAGATAGGGTGGTACTAACACAAGGATAGACATAGAAATGAATAAAGTCAAGAATATAAACATAAACTCTTATACTTCTGGTCAGTTGATGTTTAACAAGGCTGTTGAGATAATGCAAGAGGGAAAGAATGGTCCTTTCAACAAGAAGTGCTTGGAAAACTGAATTTTTTGTGTTCATAAGCAAAAAATGAAGTCAGACTCTTCCTTTGCACATACATAAAAGTTAAAAATGGATCAAAGACCTAAATGTAGAAGCTAAGATTGAGAAACTCTTAGAAAAAATATAAGAATAAATCATTGTGATTCTGAGTTATGCAAAACCTTCTTAGATGTGACACAAAAGCACAAGCAACACATGAAAAATATATTAATTAGATATTATCAAAATTTAAAACTTTTGCACTTCAAAATACACCATCAAGAATGTAAAAAGACAACTCACAAAATGGGAGAAAATATTTGCAAATTATAAATCTGAAGAAACATTTGTGTCTAGGCTATGCAAAGAATTCTTACAATTTTATAATAAAAAGGCAAATAACCTAGTTTCAAAATGGGCAAAGGATATGAATAGACATTTATCCAGAGAAGTTATACAGATTTCATGTGTACAATAAGCACATGAAAAATGCTCAACATCATTAGCCATCAAAGAAATGCAAATCAAACCACAATGAGATACCACTTCACATCTGTTAGTAAGGCTATAATCAAACAGATAGATAACTAGTGTTCATGAGGATGTGGAGACATTAGAATTCGCATACAGTGCTGGTAGAAAGGAATGTAAAATGGTGCAGCTACTTGGGAGAATAGTCTGGCAGCTTCTCAAAAGAGAGTTACCATATGACCCAGCAATTCCAAATTCCACCCCTCAGTATATACTCAAGAGAAGAAAAATATAGGTTCACATAGAAATAAATACATGAACGTTCACAGCAGCATTATTTATTTTTTTTTTTTTTTTTTTTTTTTTTTTTTTTAAATTTTTTATTGGATTATAGGTTTTGGGGTACATGAGCAGAGCATGCAAGACAGTTGCGTAGGTACACACATGGCAGTGTGCTTTGCTTTTCTTCTCCACTTCACCCACATTTGGCATTTCTCCCCAGGCTAT